TTCTAGGATAGTAACTGTTGTGAGTTTTTGAAGTACTCTTCTTAAGGTCAAATTGTCATAGACACATGAAGATAACCCATAAATCATATAAGTGATCATCATCAATAAGTCTTAAATATAAAATTTCAGAAATTGTTATCCTGTATTTTTCTTTTATTTGTTTTTATGTTGAGATTGTGAAGTCAAGTTAGTATGTTAGTTTGCTTTTATGTTTATACCCACTGTTTAGAAGTCGATTGAATCTCTACATGTTGAATTGAAATGAAAATATTAGAAAATTTGATCAAAATTAATTTTTCTCTTGTTTTTAGTTTTATACTTATATCATTAGGGTATAAAAACTCTTGTTAGCAGTTATTTTAATTTTCATTCCTGCCTATATATATTTGATGCTAAATTGTTTAATCTGTTAAAAATTTAAGTTTGCGGGGGATGAAAAATATTTTTTAAACTTGAATTTTATTTGTTCTCAAATGAACTATAAGTGAATTTGATTTGAAAAGAAAAATTGATCATGTATATGAAATTATATTAGGGAAGTAAAAATTGATTTTAGAAATGAGTAAGAGAATTTAGTTGAAATTTTAAGTAATGAAGAAAAACCTTAAGTTAAAAGTTTTTAGTGTAGAAAATGATTAATATAAGTAACTATCTTTAGTAAGAAACATTGTATTTTTGAAAATTTTAGAAATTTAGACTTTTATTTTTAATATTGCACATTTTAAGAAGTAAGAATGCTTATTTTTGGGGATTGGACTTCAGAAAGAAAGAAATCTTCTTACAAAGGGCATACGGTGGTTTTGAAAATAGAGTTTAACTACATAAAATAGGTGGTAAAAAAAGAAAAAGAAAAGAAAAAGATAAAGAAAAGAAAATAAAAAAAGATAAAAAAAGAAAAAAAAGAAGAAGAAGAAGAAGAAGAAGAAGAAGAAGAAAAAGAGAGGGAGAAAGAAGAAGAAGAAGAAAGAAGCTTGAGGATTAGTGCCTAATCAATTAAACATGATAATGGAAAGGATGGCACATATGTTTTATCAATTTAATTTAATTTTGTATGCTTGAAGATATAATATAGTAATTAAAATTAATCTTAATAAAAATTTTTAAGTGGAGATAATAAAAGAACTAAATTCTAAATTTGAAAGACTTACAATATTTCTGAATTGAGATAGGAACTCATATTTTCATCTTTCTTAACATTAAAAATTTCTAAACTTTGTCTCATTTACTAAATAGTTTTTCTAAATTGGACTACTATATTTCTAAATCAAAATTTTAGTAACTCCTAAAGAAACTTATATACATATCATACATATTTAGTTTTTAAAGATTGAAGTGTCACTTGAGGACAAGTAACATTTTAAGTTTGGGGGATTTTGATACCCCTAAAATATATAGTGTTTTTAGACACTTTTTATACCTATATTTGAGATATTACACTTTACTGGAAGGTATTTTTGTGTTTTTCTTTCAAGTACAGGTAAAAATGTGAAAAATGCTTAAAGGAGTGAAAAAGGATCCAATTTGGAGCAAATAGGTGAAAAATGTGCAAAAGTGTTTTAGCGTCTAAGCGTCAAATCTGGCGCTTTAGTGCTAATTAAACAGAGAAGGTCGCGCCTAAGCGCTAGAGGCCCCACGCTTAAGCGCCAGAGGCAGGGTCAATAATTTGGCGATTTTCTTCATTTGGCCAATTTTTGAAGAGACTTTTGAGGCACTTATTGGCTTAATAGGTGGTTACAACCAATAGGGATGAAAATATTGGTGAAAGGAGGCATCTCTTGGGGAAATACATCGAATCAGGACATATTTTGAAGAGATATCATGACACCTTTTGGAGAGTTATAAAAGAAAGAAGATTGAGACTTTGATTCAAAATTACATTTGATTTTAGCATAACCTTTCTTCCAAGACTCAATTCTAAAATTAGGAGTTAGTTGGAGAGATTTTCAGGCACCACATATTTATTCTTTTTATTTTAGTTTTGTATTGAGAGTGTTGTAAAAGAGAAGAGATTCAGAGAAACTTCAAGAGTTTGGTGGAGGACTTAAGATAAGTTTTTATCTTTTGTTTTAGACTACTTTTACTACTTTTTGTTTTAATTGAGACTTGTCGTTGGTTTGACAATGATTTCTACTTTTAAACTAAAGTGTGATTTTATTTTCTCCATAGATTCTGAGTAGTTTTCTTTATCTTTCTTCTTAAAATGATAAGTAATTAAGTGTTGGATGAAAGTTGTGGAGAGTATTGATCTTTAATGTTGGAAGAAGTTGTGATGAATTAAATCTATGTACTTTATTTGCTTCTTGATTTGACCAATCTAGATGTTAAAATTTCTTGTGAGAACATGTAAAATTGGGCTGATATTGTCACAGTCAACAATTCGAAAGAATCACATGATGTTGTATGAATGAGAATGTAGTTCATATAATTGAGTGCAAATAAATAAAGAAATATTCATTGAAGGGTGTATAGTTAGAGGACTTTAAAGTGACTAGTTAAAGCCCCCAACTTGATTTATTGTTTTAGGTTCTGATACGAGATGTTAGCCCCTAGGTGGAGGGAATCGAGGGAACTCTAGAGTGAGAGATAGTATCTTCCTTGCCTAGTCGGCCTTCAAAACTATTCAAGCTTTAAATTAATTAATGTTCTTTATAGCATCTCTAGTAAGAGTAAAGAATATTATTGCTCCTATTTAGCCAAACACAATATGCATACTTCCACAAAAAGATTTCTATACTTATTACTGATTCTTGCTAAGGAGAAAATATTTTCATATTTAGTGATTTTATTCTACAAAAGCTCAAGTCATCTTTTTAAGTTTGTTCTGTTTTAGTCAAAATATTAAAATTACAAAAAATATTTAAACTTTCTTTACTACGAAAACAACTTTAGTTTAAATAATTGTCTTCTTAAAAATAAAAAGTTTTCCAAAAAGTGCATATTTCATATCTTCCCTGTGGGTTTGATATTCAGGTCTTAATCTGAAAATTCTATATTACTTGATAACGATACGTATACTTGCGCAGTATCCAAATATATATAAATTAAAATTTAAATTCTTATTTTTCTTCAAGATCAAGTTTTTTGTTTTGTTGTGAAATAACGAAATATAAGTGAAAAATATAATCAGAATTATTATTATACTGTTGCATATAAACAGTTTCAGGATCATCAAGCTCAAATTTGTCTCACAATGAATCGCAAAGATTTTTGCATGAGGATTCGATGCTGCGGACGCATCTTTCGGTTGAGGGCCTTTACTTGATATTGAAAATAATTTTGATCAACAGAAGTGCCGCAATTTAAACACAATACAGTACAAACAGTACCGTGGAGCTCAAGAGGTTCACTGCCAGCGCGATGATGCAACCTGTCAACATTTTGGGTGACCATGAAAATGACTCAACTGACGTTTTCCAATGTGGCTAGTGCAATATGACCTTCACTAGTTTGTGCAGCAATAAACCTTCTCCATCCAGCATAACTCCTTGCCCAGCATCGCCTGCGAGCATGACTGGAGCGAACAAACTCCCTCTGTAGTCGGGAATTTCAGATTCAGTGCTTAGTCCTGCTCCAGTTAATACCATGAGCCTTTGACTCCTATCAAAAAAATTGATATAGACAATTTAAATCTTTCATGTCCAGAGGTTTTGAATCAGAAATGATTTCCTTATTCCTCATAAATTGGATCAAAGATTTATTTTTGCTTTTTTGTTTCGCCTCAATAGTAGAGTGGCAGCATGACGCTAGCAATTTTCTTACAACAAAATGAAATTGAGAACCCCTAAACCAGTTATTAGTGCACAACCTACAATTACGACCTTCGAACATTGTTCCAAGAGCATTAAATCTTTGATAGCTGCCAATTCATCAAAGCTAATATAAAATCCAGCTTTTCTGGCATCCTCAGAATGATGATATTCAATATTATTTGTAGTGCTAATAAATGTCAAAGCGGCCTACTGAACATATAGAGGAACTTGAATCTTTTACTGGAAGTTGCGTCTGCGAGCCTCATCCTCTAAGATTTCACACGCAGCACTCAAATCCCTCCCAAATTCAGGATCACTCCTTAAATGAATTGCAGCAATTTTATTTTTCTTTGTTGATGAAATGAGATCACTGACTTTTCTTTGAGAAATCATAATTACTTTCTGAGGCTTTGTGCAGAACCTACACTACAATGCCCCCCTCCGAGCACTTTCTTCATCTTCATAAACTAATCCAGAAAGAAAGCAATCTTTCTGCATAAATCACCCGTTTTCCTGGGACTAATGCCCAGAGCTCTGAGGAGCTTCAGATTTCGGAGTGAGGGAGTCTGAAATCTGTCCGTATGGGGCTCTGAGGTTCTTTCTGTCACGTCCCGTATATGAGAGGTGAATCGGAAGGGCGGGGCCGGATGGACTTACTGCAGTGAGGAGGAGGCAGCACCGACGTTCGCAGACGAGGAGCGCCTACGGCATGCGAAGAGCGGCGACGTCAACGCGGCTTGAGGTATAGGGTTCGCAAATTAGGAGTTGTGGCTGGGAAGTTTTTTTTTTCGCCAAAACCACTGATGGAGGAGGGATGCGTCCAAAAGAATGCCTCAGTTTTTTTCATATAAGATTATTATATAATATATTACATTATATAATATATTATATTATATAATAACAATAATAATAATGTTATAATCATTATTCGCACATTTTTAGCTCGTATACGTCCTCGCTACGAAGCGGATGTCTTTTCTAACTAATATCAAAGTTCTGGACGCGTTGGTGCAGTCTATTTCATCATCCGGGGTCGTTCAAACCACTTTTTCAGCAATTTGGGCGAAAACAATAATTTACGCATTTTTACTCCTCCCGCAAAATTGTGGTGCAACAAGCGCCTTTTCCAAGTGGAATCGACGCTCTGGACTCACTTGCATGGTGTGTTTCGTCATCCAATGTCGTTTGAACGAGCTTCCCGGTGATCGAGCCAATTTTGCTCGCAGCGCGACGAATAATATTTTTTGACCCAATCGGAGTCGTCCGATGTGACAAATGCTGATCGGCTTTCACCCAAGTGAAAGTCAAAGCCTAGCAAAATGAACCCAGCTACGTGCCCCTCAACATGTGTTGAAAGGTATGAAATGGATATCTTGCGCTACAGGGTTAACTCATTTGCATAAAGTACGACCCTGATGCGCTCGAGTGGAGATCCAACACATGTGACATCAAAAATTGATGCCAACAAAGGACCCCGAACAAGTGTGGTGCGCCGCTGAGGCATGGTGCACTTGTTGGCATCATCCTCAAAAGAAAGTCTCTTCTAGTAGTCGAGGTGAAATCCCAAGAGAAGACTAAAAGAACCTCAATAAAGTCAGATAAACTGGACAGGGTATGGTTGAGGGTGTAGCTAGCCAATCGAAACTGGTCAACCACAAAAATAAGTTCAGAGTCCGTAAAGTCATAACCTAGGAGGGTGGTTCAGGGGTCGTAAAGGCATAACCATAGAAATAGGTTCAGAGCCGTAAAGGCATAACCTAGAAAATAGGTTCAGAGGTCATAGAGGCATAGCCTAGGAATGAGTTCAGAGGTCGCAAAGGCATGTCCCAATGGATCCCAACCAGGCTAGATAAACTGGACATGATATGGCTGAGGGAAAGTTTGCATGACCATATTCGAAATGGCACATTAATCTGTCTGACCACGTTCAAAATAACAGAATCGATATAAACCCCATACCTGACTTTCTTTGAAATGGTAGGGGAGAAGACTCAATCATCTCGTGTGACCAAGTCTCCTGTTATGTTTCCTCTGAAAGAGACCTTGATTGCAAGTCTAATTGATCTCCTTGAGACGAAACACCCAACACATTAATCAGGCAGCTAAAAAGCACAACATATCCTGATCAGAGGTGGCGATCAAACCAGTGACTTAATAATATGGCCAACCGATAAGGATGGTTCAGAGGCCCTGAAGGCATAACCAAACACAGTGGTACATGGGTGATACACATAAAAATGTGAAATTTTTCATATGCTTTTAATGCCTATATTTAGTGATTTTCAATGATAATGCACTTTAAAGGAAGATATTTTGTGCACTTTAAATGATAATGCACTTTAAAGGAAGATATTTTGTATATTTTTTATTTCAGGTACAGAAAATGGAGTTTTGGAGAAAAAAAGCACAAATAGTGCAATTTCAGTGCTTTTTTCTCGTCATTTTCTGCTCTTCAGCGCTGTCGATGCTGGCTCTGGCGCTGCCTGCGCCCACCCTGCGCAACTCCATTTTGCTTTGTTTGGCTTCGTTTTAGTTCTGTTTCGCCTCGTTTCAGTTGTGTTGCGTTCCTAACAGATAAACCTACAAAATAAACATAAAAACAACTTTTTTATAAAGTGTATTTTCATTCAAAAATGTGTGAGAAGTATAAATGAGATTAACCATAGAAAGTCATACCGAAATGTGCGAGGACAAAATTTTCTTTCTTGCTTATTTTTTGCTCCAAATTGCACCGTTTTTGCTTCTTTTTTCTCCAAAACTCTATTTTCTGTACCTGAAACAAAAAATATACAAAATACCTTCCTTTAAAGTGCATTATCATTGAAAATCACCAAATATAAGCATTAAAAACATATAAAAAATTGCACATTTTTTAGATGTATCAATGGGCCATAAAGGCATGACCACAAAAATAGGTTCAGAGGTCGTAAAGACATAACCTAAGAATGAGTTCAGAGGCCATAGAGGCATAAATCAAGCTAATGGTTTAGAGGCCATAGAGGCATAACCACGAAAATAGTTTCAGAGGTCGTAGAGGCATAACCTAAGGGTGGGTTCAGAGACCGTAGAGACATGACCCAAGGGACCCAAGGAATGTCTGAAGGCAAAATGCTCCCGTTAATGAACCGACCCAAAAAGGCATGTGGTTCGAGAAGAATCAAAGTATAAGGCTATATGAAGCCAAAGGTGTCAAAAAACAAGATATCTTCATAATAGAGCTGACTAGAAGGTCATATAACTCGATGAACATGGCTAGAAAGCCAAAAGTGTCCGAAAACAGAATGTTCTCATAACAGAGCCGAATTTAAGGTCATATGGCTCAAGAAACGTGGCTATAAAACTAAAGAGTGTCTGAAGACAAGACTTACTCATATTGATTTGACTACAACCTAGTCGAGCTCGAGTGACATCGAACATATGATTATGTAAAGCCGAAAACGCTCTCATAAAGAAACACCAAAGCGGATATATGGTTTGAGAGGCTTCAAAGCGAAATGGCTACAAAACCCGATGTGCCTCAAAATGAGGTCTTATCATCAAGGGTCAATCAAGTAGAGGTAATAGTTTCATTGATCGGAACATCAAATGATCAGGGAGGTTTCTATCCCGATCAAAATAGTCTACAAGGTATGTATCATGACCAAACATCAAATAAGGCTGGAGATATGTATCCTGATATAATATATCAAATGCCGCAGGAGATATGTATCCTGACGAAATATCAAATGAGCAACCATGCAGCATAACAACCTAAGGTATCATGCTCAAAATATAGTCAGACATCCAAGTAATCTGACTAAACATGGATCGGTGGTAAAATTGATACATGTCATTCAACTTGGCGGACAAAACCAACCAAAGTAGTCAATACGAAGATATGGTTATATGACCAAGATGGTCTAACCATAAGAGTGCTTCCACAAGCACCAACGAGACGACTCTCATCAGGAATTATCCTATTTAGCAAGCTAATGTTTGCTGGGGAGGCATCAAGTGTCTCGATGCAGACATGGGTCAGCTACCTGACTAACACAGCATGTCGTTCAACGGGGTGGATAAAACCAATCAAACCAGTCGAAACCATCAAATGGGGTTAGATATCAGAGATGTCTAACACCAGAGTGCTTTTATGTTAGCACTAACAAAGCAACATTCGTTGGGGATCCATGAATCAGCCATCAGACTAATCAAGATGGTACTCGACATGACAGATAAAACCAACCAGATCAATCAAAAATATCAACGAGGTTACATGACCTAGCACGGTCTAACCCTCAAGGGTGCTCCAAGTGAGCTAGCGAGGAAAATCACATTTAGGATTCTCTCATGATATATCAAAGTAGTTTTGCTGGGGAGACATCAAATATCCCGATGTGGACATGAACCAGCTGAGCGACTGATACAACATGTCATTTGATGGGGCAAACCAAACCAACCAAATCGATCAAAAATATATCATCTAGGTGGACTCACAGGTCCAAATGTAGGGTGCTTTAAGCAAGCACTAGCAAAGTAAGTCTCGCTAAAAGGTCTCTCAGAACTAGCGAAGTAGCTATCGTTATGGAGAGCTCAATGGATATTTCTTACAAGAACTGGATAAGATAATTCTTGTCGAGTAAAATATCGGAGCAAACGCCAGGCATCAAAAGTGGCTCTGACTAAGAACATGGATCGGATAGATAATAGACGATGTATAAACCCGATAAGACATGTCGCTATGGCAAGGAAATGAAAATTGACTGAGTCAGGATTATCAAAAAGGGTGGATGAATATAACATACCAACCCTACATATGATACTGCTACCAAAGATTTGGTAGAATGAATTCCGTTGTGGAATTGCTGCAGT